AAAGAAACACTAGACTAGAGGAAAGTTTTTAGATATAGGGGATGTCCATTTAGTTTCACTAAACTAGAGTGGAGGTCCGCGTAATTCACCCAAAGTTAAATTCATTAATTAAATAAAGATGAAAGGCACTTATTGGTTGGTGCAAGATAAAGCAGCCCTGAACTACATAACAGAGGAAAAGGGAGTCTAAAAATAACTCTTTTGTTGCATACATACATACATCCAAATTTTGGTTTTCATCAGTGTGGAGACTGATTAAGGAGAAAAAGAGAAACCCCCTACATCTCAGCCCTGCATAGGAAGGGCATAGGGAAGAAATAAATTTGAGAAGGAGAAGAGGCTGCTCGTTAAATAAACTCTTAGTCTCTACTCAAGTGTTCGCAACTGAAAATTAGCACGGAAGTTCCAAGAGAAAGAGGAAACCTGATGGTCGTTTAATTCAACAGCAGCCCCCTGCTGTAGCCATCTAACAATTTTCAGAAGCTTATCCTTTGCTGCCACACCAATTCGACAGCTGCGCAACAACTCGTCTCCACCTGTAAAGACAATAAATCAATATCTTAGCGAGGTCTGCCCCAGGAAAACTTTAATCGAGCCGCTTATCTGCAAAGAGTAGTTTACAGAAATTGAGTGTCCAGTAATGTATCAATGATACTCCAAAGCCAGATCATATCTACCAAAGACAATGCATAACAGCCTCATGAATTCATCAAACTCAACCGTGTACTTCTAATAGCTAAAGAGTGCGTGTGTGTGTGTGAGAGAGAGAGAGAACCTTTAGAAACAAGTGACTTGTATGAACGGANTATCAATGATACTCCAAAGCCAGATCATATCTACCAAAGACAATGCATAACAGCCTCATGAATTCATCAAACTCAACCGTGTACTTCTAATAGCTAAAGAGTGCGTGTGTGTGTGTGAGAGAGAGAGAGAGAGAGAGAGAGAGAGAGAGAGAGAACCTTTAGAAACAAGTGACTTGTATGAACGGACTACACATTGCAAGGTTGAGCAATGTACAGTTCTAGCCTCGATTAATCCGCCAACTCTTGTAATCTTAACATCTGAAATTGAAAAGAATAATAAATACATTACCTCTGGAGCATCAATATTATTTGGAAACCAAAGTTTAGAACACCCAAACCACATATTCAACAGTATTCAGATAATACTTTTCAGCAGATAAACCAGTTCAACAAACACAAATATAGCAAATTCCATGTAAGTAAGAAGCAGAGAGGAAAGAAAGCTATATGAGTTAATCAATTCAGAAGATCCTTTAAGGCAATGACCGAGCAGTGAGCACCAATTACACCACAATCGAATTCATGACTGCAAAATGAAACTTGCAATTATCAAAGTGATGTTCGTAAATCAATAAGAAAGCCTGCCTATTGTCGTTTATGCTTCTTGTGAGCTTATTACTGAAATCCAAATCCCATCTTTATTCGTGTTAGCTGTTTATATGTTCAGTGGTAAAATATGCCACAGGCGACAAATTGCAACAAAAATTACAATCTTGGATAGAGCAAATTAGTTGGTAGCGAGCACTGTCATTGTTTTTGAATTGAACTATATTATCTATACTAATTCTCCACTCATGGTAAAAAAACAAAAACAGAATAGCGGATGCAGTGGTAAACCTTTTTTTTTTCTTTCTGAAATATAACTTAAAAAAACTTACTTTGAAGCAAAATGACATCGCCAGCAACAAATTTGGAGGCCAAATGTTTCTGCCAAATTGAAACAGGGAAAAAAGGGCGGGAGTCATCGCCCACCTGTATGTCCGTCCTAATAACCTCTGCTCCACCTTTTCTCCATAACTTGTACTGCAAAATACCTAAGGCCATGAATAAACCAACTCATCCTTATATATATAATTCAGTAAATTAACCAACTCATCCTAAGTACCTAAGGCCATGAATAAACAATAGAGAGAAAGTAAAAGTACCTGAATTGGGATGATATTGTGAACCAAAACGAGGAGCTGGACGTACTCGCCGATGTGAACTGCTGCTTTAGAGAGGTCAATTAGAGGACCGTAGCATACAATTGCCGCCATTTTCTTCCTTTTTGGTTTTTGCTCATGTTTTCTTCCTGCCTTCTTCTCTCTCTTTTGGGGCTTTTCATGACCCGACCCGCTGTTCGCTGTTATACAAGGGTCACGGGCTATAATATATTTTTCCGAGAGTTCACTTCTATAGAATCAATCGGAGGGAGTTTTTCAAATAAGATTTTCAGGATCTTGCTAGTTACCACTAGCTTTTATTTAAAAGTTTATGGCAATTGTTTAAAAATAATTTTATATCTCATGCGCATATTTCTTGTAATTTTCATAATTTAAATTTCATTGAAATGAAAAGTAAAGGCAAAATAAGCACTTAAAGTTGGCCCCAAATGTCTATCTAACCCTCCAACTTACCAGGTGACTATATAGACACTTTATGTTTGGTTTTATTGTGTCAAGTAAACACACGTCTCTGGAAGGTATAATGCGTGACATACAGTCGCGCCTACATGGTTAAGTGAACCAATCAGAATTTAACACGTAGACTACACATGGTTAAACTTTCCAGCAATAAATTAAGACGAAAAAGAAAATAAAAATTAAAACGATACAAAAGAGGACAAATTAAACGGGAGCTTTCATTTCAGTAATTTCTTTTTACTGAAAACCCTAATTCCCAAATCTCCTCAAATCGATCTTCATCAATCTCTTCAATGGTTGGGGTAATCGTTCAATATCCTCGATAAAGCTTAAAAAACTAGAACCTTATCCATTCTTTGCCTTTAATTTTGCTGCGTTCATCTGTCGTTAGTCATTGGTGTGGAAGATATCGATATCGATCGGAGTGGGCTTGAAGACAAATAACATAGGAGATTTTATTAAGAGGTATTAACATTTTTACTGTTTGTTATCTCTTTTTCATGCGTTTGTAAATGGGATTTTCATTATTTTTGGAAAAAGTTTTACTTTGTTTATGTATTCTGTTAAAGGGGAAAATGTATTGGCTTTTTCGTCTGTTAAAGAGTAGGGAATCTTGACCTTTATTTCTTATCTTTTTCAAAGTTTGTTCACATTGGTGGCTTTATTATTGTTGTTTTTTACCACATGGGTAAGATTATTGAAAGACAATATGTTGGGAGTTGGAAAGGGTTGTCTTTACTATAGATAAAGACCATTTTTCTCTGACCGAGATGAAATGTTACACTAAGGATATTGGGTATGATAAAGTTGAAGGCTTTTATGTCAAAGACCTTACCAATATTCAATTTGTTGCATTGGAAACTGACAGCCAACTATATAATATTGTTAAAGACTTGCGTACTGGGTCCATTATGACTTGTATGTGAAACATGTCATGGTGGAAGAAGGGGTCCCTGCTAGCAGTGTTGTAGGTCCACTGGTTGGTGACATGGACCAAGAATAATTAATATAATATGTGGGGTTAATTCTAGGGCAACACAGATTGAGGGTGCTATAAATGTGACCTTAAATGAGGCAGCTGGGGTTGGGGGGAGGGGGTAGAACAACCTCTTAATGATGAAGATAGTAGTGATAATGAAGACTTTGAAGAAGATAACTTAGAGAATATTTCTGATGAAGATGACAGTAAAATTGATGAAGAATTGAGGGCTTTTAGAGAGACTGCTAGAAAAGAAAAGATATGTGAAACAAAGACCAAAAAACATAGAAAAGCCAATGTCATTCAAGAAGTGGAGCTTGGGGAAGCTGTGGTAGATAAGGGATTTGAGGATTTAGGGCTTAACAAGAAAGACGGATTTGTTGGAAAGTTGGGTGGTGATGAAGACCTCATTGACTCATCAGATTATGCTAGAGAAGATAGTAGTAAAGATTTAGATGTTCTTGCACAATCAGGTGTTGATTTACCCTCCAGAAGAAGAAGCAAAAAGCTAAGGCATGATGATTCTGCCAAGTATGCTTTATTTGAATTAGGTATGATATTTGAAAATATACAAAGCTTTAGACAAGTTGTAGCTGACTATGCTATTCAGGAGAAGGTTCAATTAACTCTAAGACCCAATGAACCACATAGAGTAAGGGTAAAATGAAAAAGAAAGTTGTGTAATTGGGAACTGCATGCTAGTGTTGATAAAGATTCAGGAGATTTCACTGTGAAAAAATACTATCCAGCCCATAAATATAATACAAAGAACAAGAACAAGTTATGCTCGGCCAAATATATTGCTAAAAAGTTCAAGGACAAAATAATCTCTCAACCTGATATTAGAGTGTATAAGCTGCAAGAAACAATTAGAAAAAAGTTGGGGTTGCAGGTGGGAAGATCAGTATGTTATAGGGCAAAGATGAGTGCGATTAGTAAATTCATGGGTGACTGGGCTCTTGAGTTTTCAAAGCTGCTGGACTATGCTGATATGATTAAGAGTATAAATCCTGAGATTTCTTGTTAGGTCAGAATTGATAGTGAGACACAACCTGAGAAATATTTGTTCAAATATTTTTATGTCTCTTTTGATGCATTGAATAATGGATGGTTAGAAGGCTGTAGGAGGATCATAGGGTTGGATGGTTATTTCTTGAAGGGGGCTTACACAGGTGAACTGTTAGTTGCTATTGAAAAGAATGGGAATCAGCAAATGTACCCAATAGCATTGGCAGTTATTGACCAAGAAACTAAACATTCTTGGAGTTGGTTTTTAAGTCATCTCATTCAAGATTTGGAGCTTGGTGTAGGAGATGGATTAACAATAATGTCTGACATGCAAAAGGTACTATACTAAACATGTTTTCTGTTGTTTATTTCATTTCTCTTGCTTATTTCATTTCTGTTGTTTATTTCATTCTGTTTCCTTTTTTATGTCTATAAGGGTCTTGTTCTAGCTATTCAAGAATTACTTCCTAATGCTGAAAGGAGAATGTGTGCAAGACATATATGGGCAAACTGGCAAAAAATTAGAGAGATGAAGCAAGAAGAAAAGCTTTCTGGAGTTGTGCTAAGGCCAATTTTGAGGTAAAATTAAAAGAAGAATTTGAACACTTGGATAAACTTGGGCATAATATTTGTGAATCCCTACTTAGTTATAATAAAGAGTACTGGTGTACGACTTATTTTAGTAAAACTGTTAGGTGTGACGTTGTTGAAAATAACATGTGTGAGATATTTAACTCTTGGATTGTGGGTCCTAGGCATAAATCAGTAATTAGTATGCTTGAAGACATTAGACATAAGATAATGAATGGACATGGGAATATGATCAAATTTGCTGAAACTTGGATCAATGACATTTCACCCACGGCAAGATTAGCTTTAGAAGAAAATAAAGAAGTTGGTAGGAGATTAAAAGTAATGTGGAATACTGATACTGGCTTTGAAATTGAGGAAGGGGAATATATGTTCATTGTTGACATGGTTAGGAAAATATGTAGTTGCAGACTGTGGCAGTTGAGGGGTATCCCTTGTGCCCATGTTTGCATTATCCATATTGGGGAAGATCCAGAAGATTTTGTTGAGCATTGATAGAGAAAAGATATATACCTGAATGCTTACAAGTACTTCATTCAACTAATCCCCAATATAAAGATGTGGCTTGAATCAAATAACCCACCAGTTGAGCCACCTGAAGTTAAATCAATACCTGGTATACCCAAGAGATGTAGGAAAAAGGAAAAAGATGAACCAAGAAAAAATAAATGGGGAAAAGCATCAAAGAAAAGAGCCAAGATGACATGTTTTAACTGCTACCAAATTGGCCACAACAAAAAAGGGTGCAAATCAGGGGTATGTTCTTTGTTATTTTTATTGATCTACTTACTTGTTAACCTTTGTCTTCTAACCTTTGTTTTGTTACTTGTAGCCTCAAGAAAGACCAAGAACAACAACTGAAGCAACACCAAACAGTCAACCTAGTACTCAACAATCTAGTACAACTACTGAAGCAATGCCAATGAGACAACCTAATACCCAACATTCTAGTGTTCCTTATTTTTTGTATCAAGATACTACAAGAGTTAGAAATAATACTTCTACTGGGAGAGGTAGAGGGAGACGATTAGGAATAGGAGTTGGTAGAGGAAATAGAAGGGGAACTGGTATAGGAAGGGGAACTAGTTTAGGAAGGGGAAGGGGGTTGGTTCTGATTCAACAAGTACAACAATCAGTGTACCTACTGGATTTGCTACTGCTGCTCCTCTTCATGCTGCTACTAAATCTGTTTCTGCTATTGTTGGAAAAAAAAATAAGAGAACTGGGATTTGACATTTACACAGACACACAATCTGGAAGACAAGTTCTTAATGTAAGCTCTTTCACATTTCTATATGATAGCTATTTTCTAAGTTATTAATAAATTGCCTAATAGATATCACTCTAAATTTATAACCGGAAACACTAAGTGAAAGAGTTATCTCTAGTGGGAGACAATTAAAGAATGCATCACTTACCAATATTGATCTTGGATTCAAGCTACCTGGATTGAAATGGAAGGAAAAAGCTGCTATTACTAAAAACCAACTTCAACAACAAAAAGAGATGCAAATGAAAAGAAAAAGGCTCATTAGATAAGATTTCACTTTATGTAGTTAGTTCAAGTGTTTTGTCTAATTTGATTTTCATGAACCTAAAACTACAGTTTTAGTTATTTTCTATTAAAGCAATGTTTTAGATGTATGTTTGACATTTTATTTTGTGACTATTGCCTTGGTTTGAGCAATAAAATTTGCAGTTTATTCTACAGATTGTATTTGCCTTGGTAGAGTTTATTGTCCAGTTTGTATTTGTGTCTTGTAGCTGCAGTTAGGGAGAACATTAGTCATGTCAAATTTTTCCTAAAATGTTAGTCCAAAAGTGATTTAACTTGTATTTATCTTAGTTTCTTACATTACAATATTCAAAAGAACTACTGGTTCACATAAATGCCAATACACAAAAGAGCTCCTTCAACCAACTAAATTTTAACACATATAGCAAATATTACATAAGACACTCTCTAACAATCCAAGCGGGTATCACAATGACCAGCAATATTCTGTACTTTCTCCTCATCTTCTCCTTTTCTTTGTCGTGTTTTTTGATCCTCTTCAAAAATCCCCAAATTACAATCCTAGCTTGTTCAGGAAATTCATCTTCAAATCACTTAAAATACTTACACCCTTCCTGTAAAACAGTAAGAAATGTCCATAAAAATAGAGTCTTGGCCAAACAATTTTGAAGAAACAAAATAGGCACAAAAAATAACTTTAAAAATTACTTACTCGACCATATTGGCATCCAAGATACCTCCGACCTGGGTTATTTTGTGACCACGAAATCATCAATTCTGCCCTTTTACCACAATAACAATACAAGGTACCTTCCATTTTTGATAATGCTTCGTAATAGAGAAAAAGGGAAGATAGAAGTAGGAAAAGGTTGGGGAAGAACGAGAAAGAATGGGGATTTAGGTTTTGGAATTTGAGAATTGGGATAAATATAAAAGGAATTCATTAAGGGTATAATAGTAATTTTACAGTTTTTAACCGTTACAACCAAGAAAAATTTAACCTAACGTGCTGCCCAGCGTTTGTATCTCACTCGAGTTACCATGTCAGACACGTGTGTTTACTTGACACAATAAAATCAAACATAAAGTGTCTGTATGGTCACCTGGTAAGTTGGAGTGTGAGATAGACAACTGGGGCCAACTTTAGGTGTCTCTTTATGTATTTTGCCAAAAGTAAATTTATTTGGGATCTTCTGAATCTAAAAATGAGTTAAATAAACTTTTTGAAAAGTGAAATGAGGATTGATATTGGAGACAAGGAGATCTAAACTGCTAAAATGTTAGTACCTTTTGGAGTCGATCCATGACTAAAGCGATTATTTGCAACCTCTTTGCCTCCATGCTAGAAAGTTTTGGTTGTGTTAATGGAATTCAATAATCAATTTAATATGCAATAACATTACGAAATACACAACAAATGATTATTCGAGTAATCATCAGAGGCGCGCAAAGCCAGAATTTGAAATTTATGAGTTCAAGATTATAGTCTTTTTAAGTTATTAGTTTTTAAAATTTATACATATTTAATGAATTTCTTAAGGCTATTATAGAATTTGGACCAAAGCTACTAGGTTCGGCCGAACCCGTAGCTTAAAGTCTAGCTCCGCCCAGGGGAATAACTAATAACACTTTTGATCTACATGTAGAAACTCGCAAATGGTGATAATATCTCACGTGTAATTCTCTGGGATTTTTTGATTGTGTTGGATATTAAGTTTGGATCAGGCATCGCCCATGTGGACAAACCCGACTCGTTTAAAAGAGATAAACCGGAAAAAAAAATCAGAAATACCTATATTTACAACTGATAATTGAAAAATAACCACAGTTTCAAAAGTAATCAAAATTTATTCACTTTTTCATGTAAAGATAAAATTTGAACAAAAACACCCTTAAAAATCCAGAAAAATTCCGGCATAATATGATGGAGTACAAATTTTTTACATATGAGATTCCAGCATAATATGTTGGAATTTCGTACTCCATAATCCAGTATATATTATGCTGAAACTTTTCGTGTGCTGGAGTTCCAACATAATATGTTGGAAGTTTATACGCAGAAGCTCCATAATACATCATACTATGCTGGAGCTTTCCGTGTTTCAGCAAAATAATGGTCATTTTATAATGACTTTACAAATGCTGGCTGTTTTTTAATTATCAGTCCGAAAACTGGCAAACACATGCTATTTTCACCGATAAGGCGATAAACCTGAAGTAGATTATTTAGGGAAGTGTATTAACTTCTAAGAAGAACTACCGTACAAAAAACAACGTATTAGTGGGAACGTGCAATCGGTTCCTTTCTTGGGTAGCTCTTCTCTAATTAATTGATTGTAGTCATTTTTTCTCCAACTCTTCTTTAGAAACGTAATTAAAAACCAGACACAATGTCGTCTTTTATCTAAGATGAACTAATCAAATAATTTGATAGAAAAAAGATAGATCTCAACACCTTGCCACAGACGACACTAAAATAGCTGTAGGCGTCTGTTAGGAGAAGGGGAAGTAGTAAATTGTTTCATCCTTCTAATCCTCTTAATGAATGAATTCGATATTGTAAAATTATACATACAATTCGCTCATAATCTCCACCTTCGGATTTCGAATAGGTTAGGTACGATGGAAAGAAATTAAGGATTGATTGAGCCCGTTTGGACATGAGAATTTTTTCAACTTTTTTCGAAATTTTTTCATTTTTTTCGAAATCAGTGTTTGGCCCTAAATTTTTTAATTTTCACTTGAAGATGAATTTTTGAATTTTTCGAAAATTTGAAAAACTACAAAAAGCTGTTTTTCAAAATTTTCACTCAGATCACTCACAAAACTTCAAAAATAACCCAAAATTATATTCATGTCCAAACACAACTCTAATTTTCAAATAACATTTTCACTTAAAATTTTTTTCACTTTTTTTTGAAAATTTACAATTCTTATGTCCAAACGCCCACTAAATACCGAATTAGAGAGCAAGAATTAGTTACTAACACGCCCGTGCTTAACACTTAGCATCACGAAGAATTGTTTGTCCAAAATAAAGATAAGAGGAAATAAAATTAGCCCAAATTCGTATGCAGTAATTAGTGGGTACAGTAGCTTGTTTACACTATTATGCTTACATGAAATAGAAAGATGACAAAACGAAAACAAGAAGAAAGATCTGTGACATAGCGAGCTAAGCAAGTAGCTAGAGAGATCGGTTGTATCATGCATGGTTTGCGAGCATTATCATTACCAAGATTCACAAATTTTTTTAACTGAGATTGAACAAAAAAACTACTCCAACAGTAGCCCGAGGTGATTGAAGTAGCGGAAGCAGAATTTTCACTAAAAAGATTCAAAAAATAAAAAAAAGTGAACACACGAAAAAGTTAAGGGAATTCAACATCTAATATTATATATACATGGAAAAAAATTGACTTTAAATACAGTATATAATTTTCGCCGCTCACCTAGCTCCGCCCCTGACTGACTTCGGGCTGCTACTTGACACGTAAAAAGAGCTTCAAAAACTCGAAACACTGCAGAAAACCAAGTCCTATGATGCTGCTTCTCTGCTTTGGCTTTTTCTCTCTAACGAACCCGGCCATATCTTCTTCTGCGAAAAGTACAAAATCTTCGATATTGCATTGTTCAGTCACAATATAGATGTTTATCATAGCAAGAATTACTACATCTTGTACATGGACTTGTTGGTGGACTCACCAAAACCATATATCTTGAATAATAAATCATATTTATTGCGCCTGCTCCAAAGGGTTGAATGCAATGCTGTTATGTAATGCTATTTAAAAGATTTATATATGAACTAGAATCCTAGATGGATAACAAGTCTTTTTGTATTTAGACATCATCGATCTGTAATTTACCGTGTCTCCCAATCCAAACATAATTAAGACTTGCAAACTTCTGAACTTTCTCTAACATCGTTTTATATACTTAGGAGGGAAAGAAGTTCTCATGATATGAAATTTTATTATTCTTACTATTATATTAATTATGATAAATTGATGTAGTTTTTTCTTGGAGGTTTTTTTGGGGAAAGAGAGAGAGAGGCAAGTTTAGTTAACTTAACTCTAAAATTCAATATTAATTATTAAACAATATAAGCTTGTTTGGATGGTTGTCATTGTATATTATCATAATGTATGTATTGTATTGTTACTATATTATTTCGATTAATGCAATGCTTGGATAAATTATATCATTTTTCATCGTTTTATAATGTCACGATAGAGGCCGACCCAGGATTTGACGGTCAATGGGGCACCGTTACATTCAATGTAAATTTATCATTGCTCATAAAGATTGGTACGGGGGCATTTAATATTTAAGTATTTCTTGAAGAAATTTGCAATTATATATTGAGTTTTTGCCGAAGTTTTCGGGTGTCGATGACCCCTCTATGGCTACCATGTAGGTCTGCCTCTGTGTCACGCACCAACAATTTGAAGAATAAGCTTACATTATTATTAAAAAAAAGTAAAGTATGTATAGAATTTTATAAAAAAAAAGATAAAATATAATTATTAAATAACTAATTTTCGGAGACGTGCTTCGCACGTGTATACCCAACATCCATCCTTACTTAATTGTAGTAAATTTAAAAAAAAATTATCACCTATACTGCATGTATATTCTAAAGTGCTTGAGTTTAAAACAAATTTTATAGCATACAAAATGTTAATTTTTGTATATCATTTAATATCCTTAACTTCTTAACTTTCTTTTCATGCACGTAATTGAACGTTATATTAATCGCTTTATTTTATTTGTAAACACTATGAAAAAAGGAAAGGAAAATTAAGTTCTCCCTGCTGTGGAAGTTTTTGAAACGTCCCGCTTGAAAATTTCATGAGCAACAAATTAAATTATTTTTTTTTCTTTCAAGACCAGTCATCTATTGACTGATAAAAAGAATATCAACGCTCTAATTAGTAACACAGTCATAATAAAACTCATAAAAACTAAATATCTAAACCTTAAGAGAAATGTCAAGGGACAGAATTTTAAAAATAGCTAGATCAAAATAATTGAAGCGGTTAACTAACATTTAAGACACCCTCTAAATACATAAACAATACCATTTCTTTGGTCGTAGATAGTTGCATATATATTGTCTTCTCATCTCAAAATATTGTAATCCTACACAGTAAACAGAATGCATCAACTTATGCTAGTGTTATAGGTGGTCTTCAAGGTAGAAAGTAGTGGGAATTGAAACTATTCTATTCTAGTATCCATCGTATCTACATACTTCACCAACTCTCAATATCTTTTATTTCCTATAAATTTTTATGGATGAAAAAGAAAGAAAACGAAAATGTAAGATCAAAGAAAATCTACTCCTCCAAAAGCGTCCTTGAGAGAAACGGAAATCATTTCGTTGCTTTTATATACTTCTTTCCTGGTTGGTGTTCTTTGGCTTTTCATTGCATATATTTATTGATAGAAGTAGCCTCCGTTAATTTACTTACGTGTAACTCCTCATATTATACAATTTTTTGTAGTAACGAATAGGTTGGCTGAATTAGTTTGGTTAATGCACTGGTTAATGAGGGAATAAGTTACAAGAGTTGTAGAAGATGAAATGTGAAAAGTTTGATATGTAAATTATAATTAAAAAAAACAGCTGGAATTATTCATTTAATAGAATGTTTTTATTAGGTCTCCCAGTATTTTCAAAAATCACAAATTGAAGGATACAGAATTGCGCAATCAACTGAATTGACAAACACAAGAAAAAAGTGATTGTACTAAACATTAATGCATCAACAACTTCCTATTCCTTTTACTGAAGGTGCACTGCTCCCCAATAAGTGAATAAGAAAGCATATATACGCGAGCTGTAAAAGTTCTGTGTAATAAAAATTCTTTACCAAAAAAAAAAAAGGTCAAAATTTTATTTTACGAGATGCTCTAAAACTTGTGTATTCATTTCGTACGTATGGAACTAAACACATGCGTAAAATCTCCAGAAAAGTTCCATTTTACTGGAGTATATGAATGTGTGATAAAAACTAAAAAGAACAAAAGAGTTTTGATTATGAGTATACCTTTTGACATAATGTAGTTCAACTACTTCTGAAAAATAGCGCAGGATGTCCTAAGCATTTTCAGCAGATAATAAAATACATTATAATGGTCTAATTTGTGCGTCTAAAAGCTCACCTTCCACTAACTTCTTTCCTGAACACCGAAAAACAACACATTTCACCACAAAATTTTATATGCATGATGATCCATACCCTTATAAAAAGACTTGATTTTTCCATTTTGAACTGTATAAACATAGCTCCAGATCCGACTGTGCCTGTAGCAAAAAACACGCCCTGTTTGAACCATACCTGATTTAGCAATTTTACAGCACGGCGAATGACTTTCATAGAGCTTGCATCTCAAGGTTAGTTTGTTCGCCCCCATTTGCAGAGGAAGGTCCAGATTCTCGGTTGTCGCCAGCAGCATTCATCTCCTGAACAGGTGGAGGGTTGACTATTGTCATTTGCATGGCAGCATTATCTGACAGACGACTCTTCATCTCCCGATGCTCCTGGCACAAGGCACACCAGTGCAGGCAGCAATGCACCACGCAGGGGTCGCAGGGCGAATTCTGCGTCGTTAAGAAATTAGTATACAACACAAGGTGCTAAGACAAAACAGCATGTTACTCTGACATTTGCAATACTCGCCGTAGACATGAAATCTGTCTCATGCCCCAGCAGTGAGCTCAGGACAAACTGATGAGAGGTCAGATTACCTTTTCTCACTCGAAAAACACTAAATCTAATGCAATGATATACTTAAAAATATGTCTTTTCTCGGACGCCACGAGAAATTACAGTTCGTTTGAGAGTTGAGACGGTATAAGTCCTAAGCCGATAAAGGAATTTTTTTCGTCCATAGCTGACAAAAATTACCAACTTGAAATTTGGCTAGAATGAAATCACAGGTTATTTTTTGGGTGTAAATAAATAACTGTAAATCAGATTAATCAAGGCCATGAGTACAGGAATTGAAGCCAATTATGCATAATATTGTGTATCAGACAGAAAATAAAGTGACTCTACCTTGAGATGATACTTCTTCTGCAGTGACTGCCGAACCAGACCAGTGTATATGCCACACATCCACCAACTAAATAATAAACCTTCACAAATGAGGAATGATGTCCTTGGATCAATACCGTGAAATGCTGCTGTTGCAGCTGCAACAGCAATGCCACCCTCAATGAAAATGGCATGACAAATGCAAGGAGTAGACCAAGGAGTATCATCATCTCTTAGGCTCTCAACATTACGCCCAAACAAGACACAAGGACAGAAAAGCCCTCTCCAGCCTATATAGGTAATTAAACAATCAGTGTCAGAAGAAGTATGTATGGCGCATAGACTGACAAAAATGCATACCTCATAATTAAGAATGTGATGCAGATATCTATTCAGAGATGATGGGGAAAATCAAGCCCAGCAAAATAGTAAACAACCACAACACTAGCTTAACAGAAAACAGAATTTTTGCATATTAAAAAGGTATCCAAGCACTAGTTGAAGATTAATGTCACTTTATTACAAAGAGCATGCTCTTCCAGCTTGTATAGTTTTGAATGCATTTCAGATAATTTAATCAAAAGATAAACAAGCAGCCAGCTTTAGCGCCTAGATTTCACCTCTTAAGACCAGTTTAATATGTACATAGTAACCAAAAACCAGATTGGTCATTAAGATCAGGGTAACATACCATAACATTGTTTTTTCCCGATAATGGTGTTGTCTGAGCCATGTACGCACCTCGATAATTTCACCAGGTACCTGCTACCTCCCGCCAGCACAGGTACCAGGTAACTCTGCACCCAGGCTTAGGCGGGGGGAGAAGAAATCACCAAGAGTTTCTTGTCTCTGCTGGCCCACTTCATTAACCATTAGGACACACCCTTGGGTGGGTGATCAGAGAAACCACCTTTGTTTTTGTTTAACAATATAAAAACAGGACAGGAAAGTGTTCTGAATGAAATTACAGATAATGAATCAAGACAAAGAATACTAGTTGTTTTAGATATCATTAATCACGAGCCTTTACAGCTTTCTGTAGCAGACAAGAAATAAATCCAACTTAGAGAAATCCACTATATAATACTTATAAGCGAATAGATTCAAATATATATTGCACATAAACTGGGTTAAATTGGAATAATACAAAGATTAACACTTCCTACTGCATATACTGAAGACTACTTTATTCAAAACTTTTTAAGTTTGTTTTCTCTCTATAGGTTTCTTTATAGTTTTTGTATAGGAAGCGGATAGTTAAATGGGACATGTTTTGAAAAGGGCTTAAACTGGTGTTTGCCCTTGGTTTTGTACAGCTACTTGGTAATTAATAAATTTTCTTTAATTGCCAAAAAAAAGGATTAACACTTCCAAAGTTAAAAGACAAAATGGCGGTTTTAGCTACCATTCATCATCTTTTCCAATGTCATTTCAAGCCTTAGGAATAGTGCAACAACTACATAGTAAACAATACCAGCAAAGACGGCCAATTATTTATGACGCGACCCTAAATAAAAAAAAGAACTTACAACTATCTTTGTCCTTTGCACATCCAAAAATCCCAGTTGTCCATGGCTCGTCTGCAGGAGGCTCAAAACTCTCAGGCAACGGTTGTCCACACTCATGGCACTTCCGAACAGCTAACTGCCCAATGATGTGGATGACACATGACATTTGCAATAGAAAGCATGATAAAGGAGGACCAAACGATAAAGGAGGACCAAACAACAGTACAAGTAACATAAAAGTTCTGATGGAGAAGTTTGTAAAAGGAACAATACAGTCATTATTAAATAAACAACAAACAAACAAACAACAACAAACCCAGTATAATCCCACAAGTGGGGTCTGGGAGGGGTAGTGAGTACGCAGACCTTACCCTACCGTGAATGTAGAGAGGTTGTTTCCAATAGACCCTCGGCACAAGGAAAAATGAAAATAAAGCAATAGCAACAAGCAGCAACGAGAACAAGATAAACAGGAAAACGAGACGAAAGGAACAACATGTAGTGATGGAAATCTAACAATAATAGAATATAAGACTGACACTAATAACACTGGAATTGTCAGGAACCGTCATTATTAAATAAAAATCAGCTAAACCCAGCCAATTTTGTGAATTTCTTTTTATCAAAACTAAAAAGAAATACTTGTCCAACTGTTTCCTTAAGCAGAATAGCTGCCTACAGCTTAGTAGCAAATACCTTTCTGTGTGTGATGCATATTCCATAATATATTTTGATACAGCTTTCCAATATCTGCATCTTATGACCCCACATATGCATACTCCCAGAATGGCAGCTGCATTTTAGAAGGGGTTTTAGTGATCGGATATGGGATGAAATAACTCAACTATTGAATTGTTTGTGGCGTATTTTTCCTGATGTCAAGATGGATTCTCAGTTTTGGTTAGCAAGCAACAATGGATGCTATTCAGTAATAAGCTGCTATGCTCTGCTGCAAATCAATCAAGGAACTGGAGATTAACTGGCTTGGAAGACACTATGGAAACAACGGCAATGAGTTTTCTGAGTGATACCCCAAGATGTGTGAAGTCTACTTTCTTACTGGTAGGGACAAAGAATTGAGAAGGGAAAGAAGCAAACATGGAATACTATCCCATTATGAGTCAAGTGGACTATATGGTTGAAAAGGTGTTAGACCTGCTGTTACTAGGGTCTATAACCGCAGAAAGAAGGGTGAAGATAAGGCTTTTATTTATTTATTTATTATCATGTATATGTGTTGGTAGTAGTTACCTAGCAGTTCAGGCAGTTATTTTGTGTTATATTATATTAGGAAGAAGGGAAGACAGGCAGTTTATTCTGTAGTATTTTCTCTGGCAGATTTGGAGGTTAAGGTTCCTCAAAATACCTTGGTTGTTTGGTATATTAATGTTCTAATTGCTGTTTGTTTCTCTGTAGGACTTATTCTATTTGTTGGTGGCAATAAAGAATAGTTGAAGTGTTGTTCTGTATTGCAAATTCACTGATTACTGTTAGGGAAAATTCTGGTTTCCTAACAAAAGGAATAATGGATATTATGAGGGTAATGATGAAACATTCTTCTTTTGTAAAGAATAGATGTCTAAATTCTCTGTATTCATGGTGTAGGCACAATACGCTGGACAACCCAGCCTTTCTTTTGGATTTCTTGGAAGCTATGATGCTGTAACAATAAAGATAAACCTGATGCTCCATTTTATGCTTTTGTAGTACCTCCCCGGTACTATTTATTACAAAATACCTTACTTTATAAAATAAAAAATACTTAGGGATACAATAGAAACTAAGTCAAATTCTATAGCAATGTTGTCAAAAAGCAAAAGGCACAAAAAAGCGACAAGGTCTTTGGGACTTGAAGAGAAAAACGAGAAAAAAAGCACACAGTTCACAACATTAAGAAGTACCAACCATATATTAATTCGGTAATATAATGATCAAACTGAAATTAAAATAACTTACTTTAATATCCAATATACAATAACACTGATATTAATTCAACTTCTAGATTCAAGAACCGAACACTTCATCACTTTGCATGTTATTATTTGAAGCGCATGGCTTCCCTATGAAACTATATAACAACAAAGTAAGACACTAAGTAAGTTAACTTAATAATTATAGACATGAAAGTTTTCCTACAAATGGGTTGGCTTTAACATCCAGAGGATGGCTTGCCAAGCTACGCAAACAGTGAATTTGCTTATAGTCGCAAAACTTTTCCTACTAATGAGGTAAAACAAGTATTATACATGACAATGCTTGTAAAAGCATGGGAAAGAGGGATAATATACATGACAAAGTATGTGCAAGCATGTGAAAGTGGGGTAACATATATAACAAAGCATGTGAAAGTGGGGCCCGAAGAGTATAAAAATATGGGAATTGATTTTTAGGATTTTAAGCCATTTTGAAACTTGACGGCATCCAAGGTAAAAGTGCGAAAACCAGTTCCGACTGCTTTTGATGCCACGGATTCTTGTCTACTTTCTGAAATTGGTTCATTTGTCATGCCATCTTGATCCTCATCTATTCAGATATTTCTGGTTCCTTTGGCCGATTCACAAATATCGGGGGATAGTCTTCTTCGGAAGAGTTGGGTGTGGAGTCATATATATCACCCTACTTTCACATGCTTCCACATGCTTTGTCATATATATGACCCTATTTTCACACGGTTTCACATGCTTTCACAAGCATTGTCATGTATCATAGTTGTTTTACCTAAGGTCCTTCACATGTCTAAGGGGACCCACTTGTAGAAAAGATTTCCATGTAAGATATGTTTGACTTGTAATAACCTCTTAACCATATATAAAGGAGGCTATGTAGTACTTGGAAGATCATCTAGTAGCCATTGTAAATCATTGTGTTATATATGAGTTCTTTCAAGATTTTTCTCTTGCTCTTTCTTTCGAAAGGGATAGAAAGGCCGATTCTTATATGAAAATGGAGTAATAATACTCTAAGAAAGTTAGCTTATTATAGTACGAACGTTTTCTGAGTTATAACAACTAAAGTTGATTATAGTACAAAAGTTTTCCGAGTTGAGTAGCTTGACAAGCCATCCTCTGGATGTTGAAGCCAACCCATGGGTAGGAAAACTTTTGCAACTATAAGCAAATTTACTGTTTTCGCAGCTTGGCAAGTCATCCTCTGGATGTTGAAGCCAGCCCATTTGTAGGAAAACTTTCGTGTCTATAATTATTAAGTTAACTTACTTAGTGTCTTACTTTGTTATTATCTTGAATACTTAGTGGGCGTTTGGACATAAGAATTGTAAAATTCCGGAAAAAAGTAAAAAAAAAATTTCAAGTTAAAATGATGTTTGAAAACTAGAGTTGTGTTTGGATATGAATATAATTTTGGGTTGTTTTTGAAGTTTTGTAAATGATCTGAGTGAATTTTAAAAAATAGTTTTTTGGAGTTTTTAAAATTTTCGAAAAATTCAAAAATTCATCTTCAAGTGAAAATTTGAAAATTTATGGCCAAACACTGATCTCGGAAAAAAGTAAAATTTTTTTGAAAAAAAGTGAAATTTTTCTTATGTCCAAACGGGCTCTTAGTGTCTTACTTTGTTATTATCTTGGTATCAGAGCCAGACCATCATTTCGGAGAAAGGAACAGTTTACTAAATATGTCTGAGTCATTTCCATCATCTTCTTCCCTTGCAAAGATAAATATGTCCTTTACTCTTTCTAAAACTTTGTCAAATAAATATGATTACCAGTATGAAGTAGATATCTACCCGATGGAACAAGGAGTGTCATCTAATGAATTACCCATCACAAACCCATACTCAGCTTGTGCCAAAAAGTTGTTTTCCCTTGCTTAAAGAATGTACTGTATGCTTCAACTTAGCTGGAACCTAGATGTCTAATTGGCTACGATATATCACAATCTCACTGCCGCAAACATAAAACATAGAAGTCCCTTTACTTATCCCTTGTATAGTTGCATATGTATTAAACTGACGAGATGAAGATTAGATAGACTCGAGCATAATTACCAATGGAAGGATTATACTGATGCCTTTTGATGGACGGAATATCAATGTACTAAAGAAAGATGAAGTGCGAGAAGCCGCATGCCCGTCATTTCTTAAGATCATTTGCTCGTGGAAAGAATAAACACTTTGGCACCTTTAACCAACAAATAAGCCTCCCCCCACTACTTTTCATTGGTATTAAGTTGAAATGAGAAAAGCATCCATAATGGAGCATTTAGGAGCAACATATGTACAAAATACTAGTCCATTTGAAGCACACAATTTGATCTTTTGGAAACATGACACACTAGCAACATTGGACACCAGAACTACCAATTTAAATACTTTCTCTTAGGTATCACAATTGAATTTGTCCAAACACCACAATTAAACAAGAAAGGTAACTCTAGTCAAGTCGTGATGGGTAACTCCAATAGTTTTGGTGCCTATAAATAGTTCGCAACCTCTGCAAAGAAAATCCTTCACTATCTATAACGAGCCTAACGTTGGACATCATTCCCTATCCACTGCAGATCCACACATATCAGATAAAGTTGGATAAAACTACAAACAAAATTCGCAGTTACGACACTCAGTGCGAGCCTATATAATCCAACCGTGGTGCGCAGATTTATCCGATATAAGCATAACTATAAGTGACTTAAAAAAATGTATTGACTGAAAAACATGACTGAAAAATGCAAAGAGGATTTTCGAAAAATTCAAAGAGATGATAAAAGATAATAAAAACCTGAGGGACATCAATAGGTTGATTAAGCTCGCCAGGCTTAATGTCCTCAAGAGGCGCTTGATCTTTTGTCAACTTCACATACCTCGACGGATTTCCTCCTTCCGCCATCTGAATCTGATCTGCAAAACTATTACTATCAAATTTCAGTAACCAAATTGGAAAAATAGTGAAGTCAAAAGAGAAATTGTTTTGAAAATTAAGATTTCGTGGTACCTTGTAACAGTCGGTTGAGTGTTGGGGTCAGTCAAACGAGGTAAAGTGTAACTGCTAAGTATTAGTCAAGGCTGGGATTTAGTACGGTCACGATTATCTTATCTTATTGTAGAACCTCCGGCGTTTATTACAACGGGAAAATCGCAGGTTCCTTCTTTTGGGCGACTTTTCCTTTTTGTTTTGTTAAGGCTTAAGTACGGCACACCGCCTCCCTTGCGTGTTTTACATACTTTAGCCGATTATTTACTGCCACGAGGTGGCAGTACTTCTTTGAAGCTGTCACCCGCTGAGATCTCTCACTTTCTTTTTCTGTTTAAGAATATTTATATATAATCATATCAGTTAGCTGATATAAAAATAATATTATAACACTTAAAAAATAAAATTATATGTAACTCCTAATATAATAAGTACTGATTGAAGTGCTGAACAAAGAAAAGTAAGCTAGCCGTGACCATAAATTTTCAAATTTAATTTAAAAAATTTAGTTTGGGTGAAGTTTGGTTTGAAGATGAAAATATATTTGGACATCATTTTTCAAAATATATTTCACTTTATTTTTTTGAAAAAATATTAAAGGTGACTTATATCCATAAGTTTTAAAAACTATCAAAAATACCCAACAAACCCAACAAATAAACTTACTAATCCCATATATGCAGAACATTCATCGATGTCATTCATTATCATTATCACAAACCATAGTCCTCGCCATATATAAGGTTGGCACAAAATTATCATTTTTATAATGAACTAAAAATAAACCCGAAAAAACGAAGCGTTGCTCGACGTTCTTGGCGATTGAATACATCACAAGGAGGTCTGCATCATCCTACATTCGAGAAAGACGCTTCTCAAGCCCTCGAATCACGGAGAATCTGAGAGAGGAGAATCAAGGGATAGATAGAATTGGACTCACAAATATTCATCAATAAGATCTCTTTTTATTCATATTATTTTTGTTGCAGTTTATTTTTCATACAACGAAAATTTATTGCGAACAAATTTTGGCACGCCCAGTGGGACCAATTCTGCCCTTTATCTATCCTTCTTGCAAGTTGAAAACTACAAACTTCGGATCTACTGCTACAATGGAATTCCGCAAGTGTGATGTTTCATGCAAAGATTATATTGTTGTCGCATCCTCGGAGCTCAGTCATGTTGGCCCAATCACTCGAAGCAAGTTCAAGGCTAGTAGCTTGGATGAATCCGAATACTTCGCCTCCTTAGAGATGGCAAAGAAGAGCAGATCCCACATGATGTATGCAACCGCAATCTTTGGGGGCAATACCCCATTCTCGCTATTTGACGAACTTTCTCAAACAGCCTCCTACCTTGGTGAATTTGAGGATTTGGTGGATTCTCCCGTTTCAACTAAAGTCAACGCCTTAATGACTGGCGCAACTAACATGGATAAAAAGTTTGCCATGATGGAACAAACTATAGAAGTATTGAAGAAATCTGTTGAAGACAAAGACCTTCAAATCGCTCAACTCATAAACAAATTGGAGGCCTATGTACCTGGAGAGTCGAGCCATGTCCCTCCTCGTTCTCCTGGACCCACCTCGCAAAAACGGTTATTGAGGAATCACTTGCAAATTTCAACATTCAAAAGGAAAAGCAATCCACTTCAGTTGCGACATTATCTGTCCAACAATTGCAAGGCATGATAGCAAACACCATCAGAGCTCAATATGGCGGACCATCGCAAAGTTCGTTGTACTACTCTAAGCCTTATACGAAGAGGATTGATTGTCTAACCATGCCAACCAATTATCGACCACCAAAGTTACATCAATTTGATGGAAAAGGGAACCCAAGGTAACATATTGCCCACTTTGTCTGACTTGTAGCAATGCTGGAACGCATGGTGGCCTTTTGGTAAAATAATTTGCTCGTTCTCTGAAAGGGAATGTATTTTACCGGTATATTGACTTGGAGCCCGAGCCCATTGATAGCTGGGAGCAACTTAAGAAGGAATTTCTCAATCGTTTTTACAGTACTCGAAGAACTGTAAGCATGATAGAGTTGACATGTATCAAGCAAAGAAAGGACGAGCCCGTGGTGGATTACATCAATCGTCGGAGAGCGTTAAGTTTGGACTGCAAGGATCGCCTTTCAGAAATATCTGCTATGGAGATGTACATTCAAGGAATGCACTGGGTCCTTTTATACATCCTACAAGGGATCAAACTGCGAACTTTTGAAGAACTTGCAACGCGGGCACACGACATGGAATCGTAAGTCATGGAAAGGCATCTCCATTTGTTGATCAGAAGGAGTTCAAAAAAAATATTGCATCAAAGCATCAAACCAAAGAATCTATGGCAGTGAAAGCAACCTCCGTGAGAGTCACGACCAAGCAAAAAATGAAGGAGGATAAGACCCCAAGTCAATATCCCAAAGAGGAGAAACACCGTCCCACCTTGAAGGAATTAGAGGCGAAAGTTTATCCATTTTCAGATTCAGACGTACCCATAATCCTTGATGAATTGTTGGCCAAGAAAGTCATCGATCTCTCTAAATCAAAAAGGCATGAGGAAATTGGTAAAGTTGGCGATCCAAAATACTGCAAGTTTCATCGTGTCATTAGCCACCCTACAGAGAAATGCTTCATCTTGAAGGAGAAAATCATGGCTCTTGTAAGTGAAGGAAAAATTATCATAGATATGGATGAAACAGTAGAAGCAAATCATGCAAGTATAGTGCTCAAGGAAAAGAAGTGTTCAAGGTTGCAGAACATGTCAAGCACTGCCTTCTTCCAATTTGGAAGTTTTGTGCCCGTTGAAGTTGATCTTCAAAGGAAAACTCTTGAAGGTTCACTAGAGCTGGACACTCAGTCCAAAGACAAAGACGATGAGGGTTGGACTCTAGTCACTCACAAGAAACGAAAACATCAAGCAGTTTTGAGTCTACAACTTCCTAAGCCAAGAGAAAATAATAAGCGATGTGGATAAGCTACAACCACCAAGAATTGTCAAATCTTCTATTAGCAAGAAGATTAATGGTGCCTTATCGTCGAAGTTCTGAAATCCCATCACATTGCATGAATTCTTTCCTGGAAAATTCCTTCATGGAGGTCACGTTGGTGCAACTCATGTGGATTCTAGTACTGATGGAACAAAGGAAAGCAAAGATGAGCTTGCTCCCATGAAATAACAAGAACATTATGATAACGGAAAAATTGCCACATGGTGTGCAATAATTTTCTTCACAGATCATGACTTGCTACTGGGGTCTAAGCCACATAACAGACCTTTATTCGTTGTTGGGGCCATTCGGGAACAACATCTCAATCGCATACTTGTTGACGATGGTTCGACTGTCAACATCATGCCGAAGATGGTGCTAAAAAGCTTGGGATCTCTATCGATGAGCTATCCAAATGTAACCTAACAATCTAAGGTTTCAACCAAGGAGGATCCAACGATCCATAAGTATGATCCGCGTAGGATTATCCATTGGTGAGATGAAGTCAAACACCTTGATTCACATCATAGATGCTAAAACATCATACAATTTGCTGCTTGGACGTCCTTGGATTCATGAGAATGGAGTGGTATCCTCTACTTTGCATGAATGTCTGAAGTACAGAAGGGATGGAGAGATAGTCATAATTGATGCAAACATCAACCCCTTCACTGAGACGGAGTCATACTTTGCAGATGCAAAATTTTTCCTAGATTCTTGTGAACCAAGTATGGAGAAATCATCATCAGTCGACAAAGTTGATGTCAAGTCAGAAGAAGAAAATGAGGCTCAATGAACTGCCACCAAGTTGCCTAAGAAGAGAACTAAAGAAGTCTTCATTAAGTTATCATCATTTGAAGGTGACATACAGACAAAGACTGATAAGGAGCATCTAGTTATTCTCTATGTTCCGCATGAGCGTCGAAAGAAAGGGCAACCTTTGTTACAGGAATGTACTCCAAAGAAGCAAATAAGTCACAAAGATATCCAACATTTGAAGTAGCATATGACTGTCCCAGTTGTACAAATCCCATCTGTGACTTGTGAGTCTACTAAAGGCAATCTCCAAGCTGATAAAGGCTTCATACTGCTTGAAAAGCCTTGTTACGAATTCTCAAATCCATCAAGACTAGGAGAACTAAAAGATGAAGTCATTGGTGAAAACATACATGGGCTTACTGAGTCCCAAATGAGGTTGAGAAAGCAAGGGCACTACGTCGCCACTCCTAAGTTTGGGTTAGGATTCAGTTTGGCAGAGCCTCTTCGAATTTCATCTAAGAGAAGCAAAGAGATAGCTTCATCGCAACATACCTCGGCAGAGGTGACGAAGGAAGTTAAAGACAAAAAAATAAAATAACGGGCTTCAGTGTTTGATCGCATTGGAGGCTCAACACATCGTGCCTCGGTGTTTGAAAGGCTAGGTCACAAAAGTGAATGTGTATCTCCCAAACATCTAAAGGGAGTGGCCGCTATCTCAAAGACTTTAATCTTTTGTCGCTTGGGAACTACAAAGAAGTCACCATCTAGAAATATGTTGTCAAAACATGAGGAGCAAGATCATTGTGATATTGTTGCTGACAAGGAAATATGTAGTGCTTTCCCATCACGTATGAAGAGGAAGTCCATTTTGTCAATATCTACAGATGGTCCACTGAAGGTGAAAAGAAGTAGCATCATTTACACTTGTCAGCCTCATAGAGAAACAAAGAAAGAGGAAGGAGCCATGCCAACCATCCAAGGAAGTCAAAGAGAAAAGTTAGACTTCATGGAAACATCCCATCACATAACAGTGGAAGATAGCCCATGCCTTGACGTTAATGATGAAGTCCATGAGGATCCCCCTCAACTAGAAGATGGCGGGCAATCAACTGTAGATGAGCTTAAGGAACTCAATTTAGGCACTCTGGAAGATCCACGCCCAACCTTCATTAGTGTGCTTCTTACGCCTCAAGAGGAGGAGGAATAATTCAAGTTGTTGATTGAGTACAAAGATGTCTTCGTTTGGTCGTACAAAGAAATGCCTGGCCTTAGTCCTAAGGTAGTCGTTCACCATTTTGGAATCAAGAGTGGAGCACGCCATGCGAAGCAGTCACAACGGATGTTTCGACCAGAGTTAGTACCACAAATTTAAGCCGAAGTCAATAAGCTCATCGAGGCGGGATTTATTTGAGAGGTGCAATACCCATTATGGATCTCGAATATTATACCTGTCAAGAAGAAGAATGGTCAAATACGTGTTTGTGTTGACTTTCGTGACCTAAACAAGGCATGTCCGAAAGTTGACTTTCCGC